TATGAATATAGCATTAAACTGCCTAATTATTTCCTAAAAATGGATTTGTTTTGAACGTTTAAATATTATTTTATGATTTTTCATTATTGATGAAATAGTTTAAAGTTGAAAAATGAAAGTTTTTTAAATGAAACCAAATTTTAAGTGTTTATGATCAATGTATATCTGTAAAGTTGACGTAACATCTTTAACTCGCATTTAGAGATGTATATGGTTTATGGGTGTTACAAACCACAAAAGGGGATGAAGCTACTGAAAACCATCGACAAATCTCAAATCAGAGTCAATCGACGTGAAAAAACTATCTACGAATGCAAAGCATGTATCCAAATCAATCGTGACTCCAAAGCATAGAATATCAACATGATAACAAATAAGCAACATTTTGATTAGTCGTGGTGATGTCAAATCTAACCTTGAGAAAAAAGATAAATGAAAACAATGAAAAAAAATCATAAACTACCAAAAGGTAGAGAAAAACGTGTCACAAAGGCAAAGATAAACATGTCATAAAGGAGTACAACATGTCACAAAGACATAAATATTCTTATTAAAAAAATTTAAAAAAAAAAAGAAAAAGATAACCGAAGGGCGGCAACCAGCATCAAAATCGGTGTCACCAACGGTTAAACAAAATTAAAGAAGAAAAAGTTGGATTGATCAATAAAATTTACACAAATTGTGAAGAAGAAAAAAAAGGGAGAGAGAGGTGGAAGAAAGCGGCTAGTTTCTTTAATTATTTTTCTATTTATTTATATTTTTAATATATTTCTATTATTTAATATCTTATTTTCTAAGATTAACTTTTAATTTTAATAATAATTCCAATGTATTTTAAGTTTGTTTACTCCTAAGTAATAATCTCGAGATATATAATCATTGAGATAAAAAGGTCATGTATATCATACTTTTGATATTTAAATTTATTTCTTCATTTTAATACCTAAAATATACCACAATTGTACTTTCCTATCTCATTAGAAAGAGTAAAGTTAAAAAATAGTTATTAAATTATCTTAAAATATGGGAAACTGCCCAAGCTATTTTTTATGATGGCAGTAATGCCTCTGAAACTATGGTATTTCAAATTGATATTCCCATTCACTCATAAAATCATTAATATCTTCATTTTTAGCCATGGAAAAAAGCTATGAAAATTCCAAGAAAAGTTTAAGAAGGTTAAATTAATGAGATTATGATGCTAAAAAAATACAGAAACAAGACATTATTTAGCGAAACAGGGTGAATGTTATATCAATTAGTAATGTTGTCGGCATGAGCACAATTAGGCAACATTACCGGTAGCTGTCGACAATTTCGCTCTCATATTTTGCAATTTTAGGATCAAAATATAATAAGATGAAAGTAAGAGGAGTAAAATATTTTGTTTTGAAATTTTCCCCTTTAAGTAAAATTACGAATTTAAGGAAATTAATAATAATTATTGGGACCTAAAATAATTAAAGAAATTGTGAGTTTAAACAATAAATAATATTGTAAATATTTGAAAGTACATAATTACAATAGCTTAAAATAATTTTTTTATATAAAATTTATAATACAATCATGCGTTTAGTTTAACATAATGTCTCTGTATTTTTAACTTGTTGTCGATATTGTTGGAGTCAAAGGTAGCTAACAAGTGAGTTTGATTTAGTTGTGATTTTATTTTGTATCACAAGGACAACTTGAAGAAAAAAAATTACAAAGACCAAAACAAAAATTTTAAAATAAAATTACACTATTAAATCCTCATGAATAATGAATGATATGTTTCTGTATAGAATAATAAAAAATATGAATTCTATGGGTTAAAAAAAAGAGAAAGAAATAAAAAAAATTAAATCAACTAATAAAAAATTGAATTTTCAAACTGCATAAATTACATAAATCATCACTTAACTTTTTTTCTAATCACCATCATCACACGTTCAACCATCATTTTTGCCATTGTTTTGAACACTTCAAACTGCATAAATTTGATGCGTATCTTCCTCGTTCAACCAATTATCCTCCCCAGCGAACATCCAAGCACCAGCATCACACGTTCAACCATCGTTTTGAATACTTCTACTGTAGTCGTTCAACCCAAATTTCTTTCTAATCATACAGTCTTCCTACAAGATTATATAATCCAAAAAGACATTTCAAACCAAATCTCAACAACCAAGTAAGTCTAAAATAAAAATCAAAATTAGAAATTAACAACAAACCTTGGCTAGCCTCAACCCACATCCCATTTGACCCAAATATATCTTACCCAAAAGTCAAAATTCAACGTGATGGTCCGAATTTAGATCCATTCGGATCGAGGAGAGGAAAAGAAGAAGAAAATGAGAAACACAAAAATGCGTTTAAACTAATGAGAGAAAATGAGGGAGGAGAAAACAGAGTGAAAAGAGACCAAGGAATGGAGAATGAACGGAAAATGAGAAAAAATAGATTTTTTAAGCAATCGAAATAATGTTATTTTCGTTTAAATTTATTTATTTTTTCAATGATTCAAAATGACGTTATTTTGATGTAAATTGTTATGTCATGATATCTTTTATTATTTAACGATAGGATGATCAGAAAAAAAAATCTATCCTTAAAATTCAATAAATAAATTGAAAACTTTTAAAATTCGGTAAGAAAAATAAAAGAAGTAAAAAAGGCAATCAAAATTTAATTTTTTATGATCATTTATTTGACCAATTTTTAAAAATTTTAATTGTATGTTAATTAGAAGCTAAATAATTAATGAAATGATAGTGTGGCCTTTGTTTTAATTTTCACACTCAAGAGTGTATCCTACATTCTATAGTTTATGAATAGTGTATTTAATTAACTGTTAGAGTGTTAGAACTTTTTTCTCGCAATTCACACTTTTATGACACCTTTGCTAAGGCTTAACTCATAAATACTAAAATTTTACGACATTCTCTTAAGATCATATATTTTCGTATTCGATTATGATCATTAATAATCATTATTCATATGTAGGGTCATTTTCTTATTTTTATTTGGATATTGACCAAACGTCCAAACATGAAATGCAAAACATCAAAATTATAAAATCGTGAAACATTTTGGAGTTCAAGGTGCACTCACCTTAGTTGCATGAATTCGAGCTTACTGCTTTAATTCCAAACTTCTGATCTTTTTCTTATGAACGCGAGCGATCCACAATACGAGCACAGCCCTAAATGGGCATGTACACGTCTTGATACTGCTTGCATCTACAAATTTTCAAAATATATCAATCTAAAACCACATTCATGAACTATGCTGCTTTGGTTCTTCATTTGTCTCATATGTGCGCAGGGATGTGACTCTCCAATTACCCTCCAAATACATCGGAATACCTAAATAAATCAAACATAGACGAATTGGACTCAACCCATTTATGAAACTCACACCCAAATTCAAGTAAGATAGTTCATGAATGCACCTTACGACAACAACATAAGAATACTATAGAGAATGGCAGTCCAAACCACTATGGCAATTCAACTAGTTCGAGCTGGATCAACTGTAAAACCGAATTTAAAAATAGATGTGAAAGAGGACTAACCAATTCAACCAACCCCTAGGCAACTTTCATCATGAACGAACAAACATCATCAGGAGTTCTTACTCCATGTACCGTCAAAATATGGCAGATTATGAGGTGTTCTAAAGTAGAATTAGAACGTAAAAAGATATTTTGAACAATCTAGAAAATAAACAGTGTAATTTTTTCAAAACCAGTAGTCTAATGTTCCATAATATCTGACTATACTAACTGCTGCTAATAACATAAAAAGCAAACAACTCTCTGAAAACAGTAAAACAACATCTAATGCCAAAGAAGCTAGAAAAAGAAAAATGACAGTGTTCATACTAATAATTATTTTAAGCTTTAAATAAGTAGCAAATTAATGAAAAATATCAATGAAGAAGGTTACCTTAATGATAAACCATACTGTTTCAGTCACATCAAGTAACAACATCAGTAAACCTCATCACCCAACAGCTTTAAACTGAAGCAAATAGAAGATCAGCAAAAATAACTTACAGATTCAGAGCAGAGGGTGTTAATGAAGTTAATAACTGGACTAGGTCTAGGCAACAATAAAGACATTGGTTTGCGACATTCACTCATGAAGTATACAAGTTTACAATAACGTAGTAATTTTTCTTTCAGTAACATAAGCCATTTCTTCATGTTTCTGCAGGCTCACGTCATCCCCTGCTGTTCGACCATCCGTATGCAGCAAATGAACATTAGCAGCCATTACATTTCTAGAATTGGAAATCAGGAGATTCCCATGTTTCGCTTGACTATGAAAGGAAGGTCAATTGGCCCTGATTTTTGGGCGTCTGATGCAAACCATTGGTCTATTTATCACGCTGCAAGGCGTTATGCTTCATGAATAGTTCCTTGCATTTCTTCATAGAACAAGGCGATAACTGTCCCTCTTTATGTTGTCCATTCAATAAAAGACCCATCCTAGTATGACAACCTTTTTCTCATTGATCATTAGATCACTTGTAATTCAACCTTTTCGTATACAAAGGATTGCAACATGAGAGATTGGCAAGAAGAATATTTCCACACTGGCTAGAGTTGTTGCATCTTTTAACTGCTGGAAGAGAAGATGATTTTTCTTTGGAGCAAGGATGAGGTTTGCTCCATTGATGTAGACTACTTTTCTATGATAAAACTCTTATACAGGGAAAAAGAAGAATCACAATTAAACAAAAAGATAAGTTTGTACATAGAAAATTTGAGATAATGCGGTATATGCCCTAGTAGTCTCACTTACACATGTGAAATAATTCCACTAATGATGGATACATAGAGATCATGTTGTGCATATATTCATCATCGCTAGTATCTTTGAAGTGTTGATTTCCACTGAAAATTCTGAAGATCTTAAAGCAAGACAATTACCGTGGAAGAATTAAGCATTATTCAGTAGAGACTTTTGTTCAAGATCAAGAAAACTTTAAGTCTACTAATGGTTCTTGCATTAAATTACTCGGCCAAATCAAATTTAAAACAAAAACAAATAGAAAATTGTTCATAATTTGTGAATTGTTGAGGTAATTTTCATCATCCTTACAACATAAAAACTTCACTTCCCATTGCTATTCTTTCTCTTCTCATTGCTATTCTTTCTCTTCTCATTGCATGCCTTCAAAGCCTGAACCTCTACAAAATAACAAATTAAGGAGAGAAAAACAGAAATTTGGTCAAAGAGACAAGTTAATTAATTGGGTTTTAACAGAAACGAGAGAATCAAAGGATTCAAAGCGTACCCATTTGACAAGATTTCCAATTTCTGTTGCTCTTAACAAGACAATCCTGCAAAAAAAAAAACATTGCAGGAGTTTACTAAGGTTTAGAGTATGGTTCAAAGAATAAAAAAGAGAAGGGAGATTCTATTAACTTGCAAGGATAAGTACAGAGAAGAGCATTCCTTCAGTTGCTTTACATTCTCATCGTCAACAGCGGCGTCGTCTTGGTGGAGCGCCGCTTCCTGTGGTGGCGACAGAGACGGAGATTTTGGCATCGGTGTTGCGTTGTCCATTTTTATTTGCCGGGTATCCTTTTCACTCTTTCTTTTGGCTCCCCTCAAAGTTGAAAATAATAAAAAGTTGTCCATTTTTCCCCTTAGAGTAAATTGTAATATTTATCACTCAACTATCTTTTTATTTCTATTTTGGTCATTTAAATTTAAATATTTTCAATATAACCACTAGATTTTTAAATAACTAATGACGTTATGACATCTCAACATATACCAAAACGATATCGTTTTTTATTTTCACATAAAATTAAATTTAATCCAACACAACATTTATCTTTCTCTCATTTTTCTTTCTTTGTTCTCTTCTCTATTTCTCTTTTCTCTCTATCTAAACCAACCCAAACATTGTGCTAATCATCATTTTAGCCACCGTCGTTAGAAGCCAATGAATCATTCCACAAAACTCATCTCACCTTTCTAAACCTGAATCCCTTGTTTGTTTAATCGAAAGCAATCCAAACTTCACAAATACAGCATTATTATCATATAACGTTATGCTGCAATCATCATTCATATTAATACTAGTGCTGCATTACAACTTTTCCTCTCCCATTTTATTCCTTCTATGTGAAACAAACCTAAAATTTTACAATATGAGTGACCAAAACATTAGCTAATTAAAATTTTAGTGATTAAATTAAAAAAATAAATTTAATGATCAAAATATGAGTGAAAATATAGTTGAGTGATGAACGAGTGAGAAGATTTTATAATTTTTAAATTCTTGAAAAAATTCTAATATGAGTGAGTTAATATTAAGAGATTGAAAGAGTTCAATTTGCTATATTTGGATGATTTTGTAAAGAATATTTGAGTGTTGAATTGTGATATACGAAATTATGAATATATATTTTTTGAAATAGAAAAAAATTATTTTACACTTATGTAAAGTATTCTGATTCAATTTTAATAATTTTGTATACTTAATTTATAAGTTAAAGCAATTAAAATTAATTAGTAATTAAGATATTACTTTTTTTTATAATAGATATAATTATTAAGCAGTGAATTCTAATTAATAATTATTACAATTTGTAAATTATAATTATAGTAATGAGAATCGGAATGATAATAAGATTAACCCTTCACGAAAGAAGAATAAAACTTTAGATTGATTTGTCCAAAAATAATTATACAAGTTCTTACCAAATGTCAACATGTACCTTATCACTGGTTCAACCTTCAACAATTCAAGTTGGACAAGAATTTTTTTTCTCTTCACTAATATGCTCCAAACTCAAGAAATAAACTGTCATGGAATCGGCATATACGATACATGTTGATAACATAACATTTGTATTAAGAGAGATAGAGAGCCAAGTTGATGTTAGTTCTCTTTCATATGATCCAACTAAAGAAAATGTTGTTTAGTATCTAACACACCAAGAAACAATGAAGAAAGAACACATAAAAAGGTCATTGTCAACAAAAAAAAAATTGAATTTTTTTTTTATAAAAGATGAAGATCTCATTAAAAATCATCTTCACACGTACAAAAAAAAATATATCAACAAATAACGAAATGAGAAAAAGAGTACCTTCATAAGGATAAAAGTTCTGTACAACCAACAAAACACATACTTTAAAGACAAAAAAGCACCATTACAGAACACAACAACCCCTATGTCATAAAATAAAATAAAACATCATCGCCCAATTCTTTCCTTTGCAAGTACACCTGCCTCTGAATTTGCGCTTCGATGAACGAGTCTTGTAATAACAGCTCGATCCATAACCATTGATACGATATCCCTCACAATAGGCACAAAGTGAGCTGAGCAGGAAGCCGGATTATCTATCCACTCTAAGGCATTCTTACAGTCACACTCGAGGATCATTCGCCCTTTTGACCTCCACTCCTAATTGAAAGAGAAATATAGCTCTGCTCTATAGCCAACAGTTCAGCCAAGGCAGGAGGACTCGACCGATAGGTTCAGAGAACGAACCCAGACGTTTGCTGCTAGAGTCACGAATTAACCCGCCAATTCCACAGTCTCGGTTCATCGCCCCATCTACATTAATTTTCATAAAGCCAACAGGAGGTGGTGTCCACGACGCGAAAGAAGAGCTCGTCTTCCTTTTAACCAAACGCGAATCTGCCAAAGACGGATCCCCATCAAGAATATCCAACGAAATCAAAACAGAAGATTTTTAGCCAAGAACCACGACGCTAGCCTGTATCTCGCTAAAAAAATCATTGAGTGGTATCTAGCTTCCCACTAGCAAAGACTGTCATTCCTGCTCTTCCAAATCGACCAAAATACTACACAATGAATAAATTTCCAAATGAGAGAATGAGGTAGCAAATCCACCCAGGTGATTAAAAAGGCTGGAATATTACCTGGAAAGGTAGCAGAAAGCTTCCGTAAGTTCTAGAAACGATTCCAAAGATCTCACGCTACCTTACAAAAAAGAAAAGTGAATCACAGATTCTGGTTCAAGGCTGCACAAGGGACATAAGGAATTCACCACCGCTGCGACTCCCCGCTTAAACAACTCGACTATGACGAACACTCTATGGTGAGTCACTTGCCAAACAAATGCTTTCACTCTGGGTGGAGCCAGTCCCAGTCATATATTCTTCCTCCATAATGAATCTGCCCCCGCCGAGTTTAAACAGATTTTAACAAAGGACTTTACTGAAAAGGACCCCTCCCATTTTCAATCCACGATAACCAATTGCCTTCTGTTTCTTCGAATCTGAAAGAATTCAGTAAAGACATGAGTCTGTCCCATTGTAACAACTCCTAATCTAATAATCTTATACGCAATGGAAAATTACAAATATATTCTGAATCACCTCTTGAGCTGAACTCACTTATTCTCCCTTCCTTGTTAACCGAAAGGGCAAACAGCCTTGGAAACTTGATTTTCAATGGCACTTCACATAGCCATGAGTCTAACCAAAAGAAAATTGAATCCCGATTCCCAACTTGAACTTGTAAATGATTACGAAAACAGACCCCAATCTCATCTTCCTTGTGACAGCTTTTGACAACATCTCTCCATATCCATGGAGTTCGAGGAATCTTTGAATTATTAACCACCAAGGTCCTGGCATCTAAGTTGTACTTGTTGCATAACAACTTCTTCCACCAAGTATCCTTCTCGTTAGCAAATTTTCATATCCATTTTCCCAGTAGAGCCTAATTTATGAGATAAAGATCAATGACCCAAGCCTCTATTTACCTTTGGCAGACAAATGGTCGACCATTTGATCCAATGGATTCGGTTTTTGTCCGCCAAGTCCCCCCAATAGAAACCTTGCCATGATTGAATTTTGCTTTATGTAAACCCCTAAAGGCAACCTGAAAATGGAAAGGAAGTAAATGGACAGAGAATTCAAAACTGATTTTATAAGCACTAATCTTCCCGCTGAGACAACGAAGACCGAAGTACTCGGATGGGAAATACCCCACCGAACAGCCAATAACCGAAGCCAATAACCGAAGCCCAACCTGCAAGGACTTCTACGTTAATTCCAAATAACCTGCTCTAGAAGAGATTTAATTGAAGCCCAGAAGCCACCTCAAAGATACGCAATACTCTTTTAATATTCGTAACTTGCCCGAGCGACGCATTACAAAAAATGATCAAGCCATCTACGAACTGTAAGTCAGAGAGCATGAATGACTTGTGGATTTTTCCAACTGAGAACCCATGAACAATCCTAACTTTACCACCTTTGATAACATTATATTCAACATCTCGCCGATCAAATTGAACAATAAGGGAGATAGTGAACAACCTTGCTAAAGACCTCCAGCCGTCAGGAAGTTCTCTGTGGGGACACCATTCACTAAAACTGAAATCGAGGCTGAGGAAATATATCTAGAAATCCATGAATACAACCGTTCCCCCAAACCCATTTCCTCCATAATCTTTAGAAGCATCCTCCAATCGACCATATCGTAGGTCCTTTTAAAATCTATTTTGAACACCACTCCTTTAACCCTTTCTTCCTTAAGTAGTCTATTCCTTCATTAGCAATAAACAAATTTATCTTCCCGATATAAAAGCAAACTGAGAGGGCCCGATAATAGAATCCACACACCATCTTAACCTTCTAGCCATAACTTTTGACAAAATCTTATACACTCCCCAAACCAAACTGATTGGTCTATAATCTTCTAAACACCCCATATTAGCTTTTTCTGGAATAAGCGTTCAAAAGGAATAGTTCACTCCTTCTTCACACTTTTTACCCTTAAAAGAAATCTTTGAAATTTTTTTTATAACATCTCTCTTTGTGCTTGACCAGAATTTCTTGAAGAAGCTCATATTGAATCTGTTTTATTACTATCTGTTGATGATATGGCTTTGAGAAAATGAGTGAGGGTCTGTTTGTTTGGGTAAAACCAATTATGAAATTGATTTTTTACGAAATCTCGTGTGTATTTAATGTAATTTGTTTTTTAAAAAATATTTTTTAGTGTTTGGTTGGAGAAAAACGGGTTGGTCAACGTAATTCGTTTTTTTGGCCAACAGAATTTTTTTGTGTTTTCTGGAAAATGAATTACGGTCTGATTTTCCGTAAGTTATTTTCTGAATTTTTCACTTCAAAGAATAAACACTCAAAATAATTTTATTTTATAAATTTAATATTAATAAAAATATTTTAATATTATTTCAATCAAAATATTAATTATTAAAATATTTAAAATATATTTATTAATATTTCTAATAATATAATATTATATTTTTAATATTATAATAAAATAATCAATTATATTATAATAATATAAGATATTATATTTTTATTTTAATAATATATAATTAATTATTAATAAATTTATATTATTTATTAATTTTATAGAAATAATATTATTAAATTATTAATAATGAATAATATTATTTATATATTTAATAATAATATAATAATATTTTAATAAAAATATTTAAAATATATTAATTAATAATTTTAAAATATAATATAACACTATTACTTTAATAAATAATTAATATAATTTAGAATATTTTTATTTCAATAAAATATACCCATATTAATATTTTTATTAATAAAATTATAAAAATAATATTTAATAATAAATAAATTATTTTAATATTTTAAAAAAAAATTATATTAAGTTTTATGATAAATAATATTATTTATTGTATTTAATATTTGTAATAAATAATTTTTAAAAAACTCATCAACTAGTGGAAAAAATGTTTAAACAACATATTCCAAACATCGTAAAACGTTTTCCAGATAATGTAATTCATTTTCCAGAATTCAATTTCCAGAAAACTAATTACTGCTAAACATACAGATCCTAAATTTGCATGAGGAAATACATTTTTATTATTATGTTTAGAGATTTGAATATGTCTTTTAGGTTTAGAA